GCGGATGTAACAGATTGCCTGCGACTTTTCCGTAGAGAAAGTCAGGTGGTTTTGTTCCGTCCACTTCAGTCTCTAAAGTCACTAAAGGGTCAGGTTAATCTGTTTTCAAGTATCTTTAATTTGTGATCTAGGATTATGCCTCTTGCTAAGATGGCTATGTCATCAGCGTACAGAAAAACCCGTATTCGTGGTATATGTGGGATGGCATTAATATACAGCAAGAACAGTAGCGGAGAGACAACAGAGCCCTGAGGGACCCCGGCCGCCATCCTCCGCTTTGAGGATCTCGCTTTACCCACGAGTCACCTGCCTGCGGCAACGACCCTTATAAAATCGGCCTGCCAGTGCAGCGCCAGTGCCAGTGCCAGTGCCGTGACAGCGAGGCACGGTTCCTACCAAGGACAAGCTCAAAGATCCCGATGGATATCCCGACGTGTAGTAGTTTCGCACATATGTATGTGTATTTACAGGGAGAGGACAGAACACGGGAAAAGAAGGAAAAATCGCGCGCAGTCCATAGTCCGTTTGTTAAGTGACAGTGGTCACAGTGGAGCCGTTTTTACCGAAAATGACTGTCGGCCGACGTCAGGAATTTCATTGGTTTTCGTACAATGTACCAGGCCAGTTTCGTTGACAAACATGGTGGTGAAATTTTCAATGAAAATTAGACCTGCAGCATTATTATAAATGTGTTATGCTCTTTTCAAGCTAGAAAAAGGAAGACGAGAGCAATTTTTTTGGAAACTTTCATGTGGGGCCACACTAGTCAGATTGATCATGAAAAATCAATTTGGGTATTATTAAAACTAAATAAATAAAAAACAACCTTTTTTCCGTTTCAAGGACCCACAAAATATGCATTCTGACATTACAATGTATTCAAGATAGTAATTTATTTGGTACAGAAGCAAGAAAAATCCATTATTCTCCATCAAAGATACACAAAACGTGTTTTTCTGATGTCAAATTGGCACATTTACCTGCAGCCTTGCATAACTTTCTTTTTCTAACAAGTATATATGACAATGTAACAATACAACAGATATGGAAACAGGAGAGGCTGGCATTCTAAAAAATAATGAAATATTAATATTCACATATTTGTATTTCATAAAATGTACACAATTTGCATTTGAAATATTGCACCAACAGCACACAGTGCCAGTCACAAATTCCTTAATATTTACATTATGTTTTTACATTCAATTCAATGCTGATTGAAAAAAGTTGTAACTGAAGAAATGCAATAGGAATGACTCTTCCCATTCTCTGCATATATATTAAACAAGTTTTCTGGTTTGCAATTTGAAATGGAACTCCCAAGAAGAAAAAAATTCTTTCTCAAAACAATTCCAATTCTTTCTCGAAACATGACTCTTATTTAGATTTCAAGGGGTAACTCAAGAAAACTACTAAAGTATTACCTTTCCATCTTTCAACATTTTCAATTTTCAAAAACTTTCACATAACTTATCAAAGAAACAATAACAATACAATTTACTGGTTCAGATATAAAAAATAATTTTGTAAGAATGAACACAGATTGCTTGGTAAAAGTTCATTCTTTCATCAGATTTATTTTCTAATTAAGGTATTAAAAATCATAATTCATCAACACTGACAAAGCAACCTTTCACCATTTTCAAGGAATAAATTATGAAGATAATATAAAAAACATTGTGTCTCAAGTTGTAAATTCTAGTCCACAAAAGAAATTTAAAAAAATAGTGAACACGAAAGTTACATATGCATTATCAACATTACAATAAAAAATACAGCAGTCAGTGTTTGAAGGTGATATTTCCACAAGAACATTTTGATTATCAAAATTATTGGACAATTCCATAAAATCAACAATAGCCCACAAACACAAAGAACTTCCTGATTAAACTTAAATACATTTATTAATGACCACACAGCTTCTTGTTTTTTCAGATCGCTATTTAATTTAAAACTTACCCTTAAAAAGTAAAAATTTCAAACCAAAAGGTGGGTCATCACTAATAATAAGATCAATTATATGATGGAAAATTTCATGATCTCCCAAAATTAAAAGTTACCATTCTATCGCATTAACAGTTTGAAGAAAATCAATATCATCAGTATCATGACCTGATTTTTATGGTGGATAGGATAGGAAAATTTCTCATCACATATTTTATATACTTACAAAGATATGTTCATGATATTGAAACAACTTGGCACTTACTGGTTGCAGAAATATACAATGAAGTCATAACATTATTTACCCTCTCTTTTCTTTACCACAGCAACAAATAAAAATTCCACATAATAATAAGCTAGACAATAAACTACCCTTTCACTAGAAAAAAATATACCCTGAAGCAGTACTGTGAGTTTTTAGTATGCAGAGTGAAAGGACAATAAGAGACTTTTGTCAGGTAATTATTAGGCATAATTAGATCTCAAAATCTTTTGCTCTTGAATTCCTGTTAACTGCTTGACTTTCACTGTTCATTTGTTTCAGATTCAATGAAATAACATTAAAAGAAATTTGCTATTAAAGACACACATTATTTGAGGTTGTATCTGAAGTTCCAAATACATTAACCTAAAGCAATGAGTGTTTTGGAAATTATATAACTGTGACAGAGATATAAGATAGTTATGATTACTCTCATGCAAGAACCTTTGGGAATATTCACAATATTTGATAATCATCAATATTAATTTGGAATTTGAAAACAGGTATGCCAACTATTAGAAATATTACATAATGAAAAATTAAAAAGTGAGAGCATTATATAATTTAAATTGTGTAAAAAGATCAAATTTACTTTGTAAAATGGTAACTAAATTTTATATTTACCTAAACTCTGAATGTATGCAAATATCCTCAAAACAAAATTCTTCACACTTTTTTTTTTCTTTTTCTTTTAAACCAAATGCTTAAGTTATATAATTACACAAGAAAGTCAATCATATTCTCAGACGTTTGCAATAAATTACACAGACTTATTTCGCAAAAATGGATGAAAAAGGGAAGGAGGGAAAAAATGTAAGAAGGGGAGAAAAAGGCCATTTTTGAGATCATCAAGCATTAAGGTTATCCAAAGAGATCATCCAAGAGTTGTACATGAAATGCCTATCTAACCACAACCCCATTTTTGTTAAGTTTATGTATTTCTACATACGCTAATTACAACTATACATAAGCTCACAGAACTGCACATCCTTCAGAAAGTAATGAGAAATATAACAATTCAATTTAATTTTCATATTGATCACCAAAAAATAATATGCGTATAATAAATTTATAATGGAATGTTACTTACAGAGCTAAGTTGTTTCCAGATACTTTGGTGCAATGGCTAGCTAGCCAACATGTAAAGTGCACTATATATCTGTTTTTAGCTTAGAGTACAAAGGAACCTTTAACACATTATGTTTTATACAATCAAAAACTAAAACACGCACATCAGTTTTATTTTGTATACCTGCTAACACCTCTATATTCTCTACTGATACAACGAAAAGTAGTTCCCTTATTCAGTGAAAAGTTTCACAATAAAGATGTATCAAAAAAGCTATATCACACACAAAAAAATTGAATAAAAAATATACCCCTAACAGTAACTGTTCTTTCGTTTTCTTCTTTTACATGATTCTGAAACTTCATTGGCAACAGAGATTTTCAGTGTTTTCCTTTAACTTACTTGGTCCTCTCGCATATCTTTAAAAGCACGTTGTAAGTGAGAGAAAAAAACGGAGCGGATATGCTACCAGTTCTCATTATACTGCTTTTTTTGTCTAATCGAGCAGTTTACTTCCTTTTTTAATAATAAATTTCTCTTACCAGTATTTCTTAAGACAAAATATATATTATTAAATGATGTAAGAAACTGCATGCAAGAATCACCAGATTCCAATTTTTTTACGGGCAGAAAAGAGAAATAGTTATGCGAATCAATTCTTGAAAATATTAATATAAATAGGAAAAACACAAACATGATCACACTATAATAGATCTATTTATCTACCTTTTTCAACAACAACTCTAGAATTAAATTAGGTTTCCTGTACCTGCTGAGGCTCATGAAGTACTTAAATACTGAAGGCAATCATGATTTTATCTAATTAAAGGCAAATATATTTCAGCAGTTAAATCTTCAAAGCTATGTCCCTAACTGTTTCTTCTCTGTACGATATAAAAGAAGAGGAAATAGAAAGATTTCGGGCAGTAATCATAGTCAACATTTAAAAAGAAAAAGTATGCAATTAGGTATTGCTTTTAATCAGTCGTCACTTATATTAGGTTGCATACCAGAGATACCTCCAACAGAAGCAGAATGAGTACTCCAGAACAACTGGAAACATGGCAGTGCATCATTTACATCAACTTATACAAACCGGTGTAGCTATAAATATTGAGCCACATCACACAAGTTCAAATTCTTATGTAAATATATACTTTATGTCTTTCTATGTTCAGTTCTCAAAATTGTGATCTCTGTGAAGCAGGGGAATCCTAACTGAATAGCCACATTTTTTGGTTACATATTTTTTACTACATTACATATTTAACAAATGTTTTTATCCTACCAATTTTTTAGAGTTTATTTTGCAAAAAATATTTAATGATTATTCAAGAGAAGTTATGTAACTTCTAATTAATTCTATATTAAACAAGGACAGATGCACAAAATCTGTTTGGGTTAACCTCCATTTGCACTGCATGTTGTTATGTTGCCCAAAGTGAGCTTCAGCATTGATAATCTAATTTTAAGATGTGGAAAGTAAGACTTATTTCTTGATCATTAATCCCAATTTACAAGAGATATTGGTAACTGCAGACATGTGGCACGATAAAGACAATGCAGTGATTGTTTGTCAGACAATGAATTTCTGTACTTATGCAATGGCTATCATTGCTCTTAAAGATAGAAATGTACTCTTCTAAAAAATTAATTGAATAGGACAAGCAATATTTATTTTTTTAAATTTGTTTAATCAGGGATGTCCAACTTGCAAGGCCTCAAGGGCCACATTTAACAATCTTAAAACAGTTGTGGGTCATATTTTTATTACTCTGTTGATCCACACCTGATTTCCCCATACTGTTGATCTCAACAGTTTGCACAGCTGCTTTGAAACATGGTGGGGAATGGAAACATGCATGATATCAGTCCATACCATGCATAACTCAGTGAATTATAAGGGTATTCAGGCAACAGCAATGCTGTATCAGGGACTAAAATTGTTTCATCAAGCATCACATTGGGATTATTTGGAATTTATGAATTTACTAGAAAAAATTCTTAAATCTAAACAACTATAATAAGGATTTTCAGACAACAGCAATGCTGTATCAGGGACTAGAATTGTTGCATCAAACAACAGCAATGTTGTATCAGGGCCCCTATTCCTGTAGAACAGTGCAAGCATCAAGATGGGCAAATGGGGTACTTCAATGATTATGCAGGATTTTAGCCATGACGAACCTACAGGTTACTTTGACGGTGAGGCTTGGAGGGAGGTAGGACATCTTTGGCTGGGTTTGACCCAGCCAAGAAGCATTGGTTTCAAAGTGTCAAAGGTCAAAGTTTCTGCACACCACTAGATGGCAATTAGGAAAGGGGTTGATAAACCCAACATAAATAAAAAGGGAACATTACAACAACAGGAACATGTATCTCTTTGAAGTTGTAAAATGTTAATGTAAAGGATGAAATGAGGATGTAAAATAATATGTTAACAAGTTAAAAATCTTACATTTTACAACTTGCTGATATCCACTATTCCACATTTGTTGATTATTGTTCACTGGTATCTGGCCAAGATGTAGTCTGTCTTTGTTGTACAGATAAGATTTGAAATCAAAATATTCATCATTATTTGAGCACCACGAAGGAAATAACAAACACCAGTATAGAGAAGGATGAACAAGGAAAATTGAAGTTACTTCTATGAAGTCTTAGGCTTCCACGCCCCGAGTCATGTGGGTGATCTGGGCTTTCGACAGCCTTCGACACGGTGTCACCCGGACAGCCCAGATCACCCACATGAAGTTACTTACTTCTGCTACAACATAATAATCTTACTATTTAAATATATTTAGTTAAGGTGATGTGCATATTTGTAGCATATATATATAACAGCAGTCCTAAAGCATATCCATTCCTACAAGCCGTCATTGACAACAAACAGCAGATATGACATGTGATAGGAGGAAAAAAGAGAATGGATTCACAAAGACAAATGGTCAGAAAAAAAGGAGACCTTGAGATATTAAAGATATTGGTGAAGTTCCCTTAAATTAAATATAAATATAACAGAAAAGCCACATTCACATTGTCTTGCCTTTTCACATCTTTGTTATTGTGTCATTAGGACAGCATTTCATTTCTTTAATCCCAAACAATGATGTCAGTTGAGAGGACATCTATTAGTGATTCACTGCCAGAAATAAGGACTTTGTGACCGCAGTAATGAACAAAATTTATGTACGTCACAAGGAAATTAATCTAATCACGTATTATTTAATTACTTCATGATTGCTGATGTATCCTCACTATGAGCATCTACATAACTCAAAGTAGAGGAACAAATAAAACAAAGTAGAACTCTCTGTCCACGCCAAAATTCATCGTAAGAAACTTCATTGTTTTTATAACAAGCTTCCTTAAGGCCAGAGTGACATTTCTACCCTTCAATTAATACAAATGGTGAATTGACAGCAATCAGCTAGGAGAGGGTTACCCAATCCGAGCTTTGTTTCAACTTAATTTTTGATATTGAAGTTCCCAATTGGATAACATCCCATGTGATCAAATGTCAATTCACCATACACTTTAATTGGAGTATATACAAAAATTTTAATTCACTTAATTTTGTAATTTCATTACGTGTATTTTAAATATATAGGTTTTTAGATATTTAATCCTAACTTCTAAACTAACATATCTAACAATATATTTTTTGATTCTAAGATGCAGAAGAAAGTTAAGATTTTGGAAGTGATTGGAAGTCAAAAAATAGAAAAATTACAGTTATGTTAGTCTGACCTTAAGGGCACTCGCACTTTCATGATACTACTTTGGATTTTGAGCCTCTAAGGACATCTATCAGGCGCACTGTGTAAACATGTATTTGCAATTCCATGTTATTCCAAGTTACTGATCACATGTTCGGACCTGTGCTTTCAAAAACGGAGTTGCCAATTCTGCCACCACCAAACACAACATGAACAAGAATTACATCAATGTAATGCATCTCTCTCAGTACCATTCACATCCTGATTACCAGAAAAAAACATACAGCAATTTCAATGTTATTTATAACTTACGTCTATTTGTAATACTTCTCAGTATTTCAGAGTTAATGCTCAATTCTGGACAAATATTGAAGGATTGTACTCACATATTTTTTGAAAATTGTCACTAAAACTAATTATAAAAGGCATATTTATTTTCATATTGCATTAATGTAGGTCTCATTAGTTATAAAAGCAAGAATCTTTTAGAATAAAAATGGCAGGAAAAATGCATTAATTTACAATTTAATCACAAAATACTTTCAAGTTATATTTCAGACCTTGAGGTTTCAGCATTTTAAAAGGGGCCAGCATACTTGATTTAAGCTCTTGCTTCCAATTTTGACAAGATATCTCGAGCCTTTTCAACAACGCTGTAGATGTATGGTCGCTCCATTGGATTCACTTTAAGCATATACTTGATAAGATCATGCATATCCTGCAAAATATAAGTTAATGTTGTATATATAATAAAAAAAATATACAAACATAATTATGAAAAATAATATACAACCCAAATATATTAAACAAACATATTTTACCTCATCGTAGGGTGAAGAATCTGGGAATGTAACATTTCCACTTATAACAGCCAATGCAACACTATCTCCCCGCTCATACACAGCATCAAAGGGTGACTTGAAATAGCACATAGCATATAACACACAACCCAAAGACTGAAAACGAGAGATACTTTATTGGAAACAATTACAGAAACCTGTTATTTTCAAATTGTTGCTACAATTTCTATTTCAAAGAGAGATTGATTACCCTTTTTAAATTGTCTCTACTGCAAATCAAACTTTTTAAAAAAGCTTTCTTCAACTGTCTGTTTCTTAATTCTATTTTTCCCACCACCACTGAAGTCAATAGCAACTCTGAAGTGATTCTATCAGTAGTCTTTTTCATTTTTTCTGAATGTATATTGTTAGTAAACATTTCAATATTCATCTCAAATTACTGAATTAAAATTGAGTACTTTTATAAAAGCTTTATTTGTGTTAATTAATCAAACACGTACACAAATAAAACAAATGTTACAGGTGTATTAAAAACTGAACTCATAATTTCCAATATTTCAATCCATTAGCAGGATCATCTTCTGGGTAAATTCATTATACAAAAAGTTAAAATGTCATACTCTAAACTTGTCCAAATTTGCTGTGAATCCAACATTAGGATAGTATACAATCAAGGTAAATATCTTTGATCAATTATAGGGTGCAAAATATGTTAGCTATTAGTTTTCAAATGTATTGGGTCTATCAACAATTAATTATTGAAACAATGATAAAAGTCACAAAGAAACATTTATGGAAAAAAGTATTTTAGAATGAGCAGAGAGGAACTGGCTTCCACAGGACAGTCAAGTGTCATATTTAAATTCCCCAAATAGCCATCAAAATTCAACAGCTGTCAGAATGAACCAAGTGCAAAGGCATATTCAACAATGATTCCAAAAGAAACTTTCCCTCACTAGTTTTAACAACGATGAATTGGATTCAGAAACTCATTTCCTGATCACATGACTTGTTATGACCAGTCTGAGGGAAGTTTCTTCAGGCCTAATGGTGTCATGGGAGAGGCGGCAGCAGGACCTGAAATTCCTGTCTACCAAGGGAGCCCAATTTAGTGTGGGCTTTCTTGTTTATAGTCACTGATTTTACTGGCTTTATGCTAAAAATAACTTTGTTTACATTTCTATGATCATACCCAAATATCAGTCCGTTCATCAATCATGCAGTAGCTCTCCACATTAAAGAGCTCAGGAGCTCGGTAAGGCATTGAGCACTTTTCGCTCGCCTCATCCTGCAGGTGCTGGGCCTCGGAACTTCCACAGATTTTCACTCGAGCAACAGCCACTGATCCTGAACAAAAACACCACACCTAAATTTTAGATCCCAATGTCCTCTCTGAACTGTTACCAACAGATAAAATACACCAACAGAAGAACAACTTGAAAAAGCTTGCAAATTCTTGATTCCCTTTAAATATCACAAACTAGCATTAGAATCACACACAATGAATATATATTCATTTATTAATCACATAGGTTCTATTATAGGTTCATTCACACTAAGATTAGTGTAGTTTCAAATAACTTCCTTGTTGAAAAACTTACACAAAAAATAACTATGATGCCCACATATGTTGCTAAGATAAAAATTTTATAAATGCTGAGAAAAATTTAGTATATTATTTACTCTCCTTAGGAAGAGAAACTAAGATGTCAGCTTATTAAAACGGACTGTCAATACCCCATTATACTCTAAATATCGAGCAATGATCACCTACGAATACTTTTGAACTGGATTGATAATTTACTTTTCGCAACTATATACCCCAAATCCACAGAGAGACAGACAGAGAGAGACAGACAGACAGAGAGAGACAGACAGACAGAGAGAGACAGATAGACAGAGAGAGACAGACAGACAGACAGAGAGAGACAGACAGACAGAGAGAGACAGACAGACAGACAGAGAGAGACAGACAGACAGAGAGACAGACAGACAGACAGAGAGACAGACAGACAGAGAGACAGACAGACAGAGAAGAGAGAAATAGAGACAGACAGAGAAGAGAGAAAGAGAGAGAAGAGATAGAGAGAAAAGAGAGAGAGAAAGAAGAGAGAAAGAGTGAAGAAGAGAGAGAAGAGAGGGAGAGAGAGGGGAGAGAGAGAAGAGAGAGAAGAGAGAGGGAAGAGAGGGAGGAGAGAGAGAGAAGAGAGAGGGGAGAGAGAGAGTTCATAGCAATGTTACACAGTTTTTAAAATATTAAACTCTACTGAAATGTTGTCTTAATATAAAAAAAATGTGGGGTGTAACTTATGCACTTTCCCATTGACCGTTTAACAGACATTGGGTAGTATGCTTCCCACTTAAAATGGAAGTTTATCAATGTACACATAATGAAAAAAGTTAATATTATGAAACTAGTGTTAATTTTAACAATATTAATTTTGTTCTTAAATGAGTATTAATAAAATTACATTTTTATTAAACTTATCATCTTTAAGATGTACTTTATGTGGCTTTAGCAATTATTTTAATATAAATCTAGAATTATTGACACCTTTAAAGATTTAAACATGTTTTTCTCGAAACTAGCTTGATGTGTATTAGGTCAGTATTGCTGCAAAATTAGTTTTTATCTCCTGGCAATTAAGTGCTGAATCACAACTAACTGACCATCTTAAGTCGATTAGCATAATACTACTACAAATTGCTTATTGTTCTTCATTTCATAAGTTTGTTCATTTTACTATACACTATATTGTATTTTCTTTTCTCAAAATAGTTCAATTATGTGAAAAAGTTTATACAAAATATAATATATTCTATACATAAACTTTGAAATTGATTTAAGTCTGAGTAATTTTTATTTTACAAATATTTAAAATACAACAATTTATTTTCAAATATCAGAAATAATATTTATTGATTTACATCACTGACTTAAAAAAATTGTTTGACTTAAATCATGATTTAAATCAATAATTTAAATCATATCAACCTTAACTGTACTATACCAATATCAAAAACTAATGCTATCACAAAGAACAAACTTCAGCTCTTACATAAAGAATTACTTACCTAAGTCCATAATGATGGGGATGTTGTCATCTCCAATGAGAATATTGGCAGTCTTCAGGTCACGATGGGATAATGGCTCAGGTGTTGCTTCATGAAAGGCAGCTACACCTTCACATATTTGTATGAACATGTGAAGAACATCCACAGCGTTCATGTAATTATTTTCACAACTTCGTCTGGACAACTCGTGAGCTAATGTACCTTTCTAGGAATAAGAAAGTGTTCATAAAGTCCAAAATCTTAAACTGTCAGAAAAATATTTTTTCACAGCAATAACATTATAAGTGTAGTCATAAGAAAAAAAATAAGAAAAATTAATTAAAAATAAATTTAAAAATTACAAGATTCTAAAATAGTGAAACATAATAGATGAATCACATCACTTTTTAAACATTTCTCTATTTAATAATTAAAAAGTAGTTTGGAAAAATTTTAAGAGGAAGTTTGTCTCATTCTCAACCTAAACACAACAGTGTTTATTGTATTTAGGGTGCATGTTAATGTTCAGTATTTAATATTTATAACCAAAAAAAACAGTAGAATCTGTGCACATTTTTTTGAACTCCATGATCCCTATCCTAGCTCTTATATCATATTAAAAAGAAATATGAATAAAGGAAGCAAAAAGAGTTTTTTGGCAAGATTTGATAAAAAGATAACATTCACTTTCACGTAATAACTATTTGCAACTGCAAATGAGCAAATTAGCTCTTAACCCTTATCGAGTCCCGTGTGAAGGAAACTTTCTGCTGTGAGAAAATACAGAACGCTTATTTAAAAACCTACATTCCCAACTTTTACCCCACTGAACTGGAGAAAACTTGCACAAATAGTGACACTATATTTACAGTCGGAAGCAAACCAAGAGGCCATCTCAGCATTTACTCAATGGATCAAGAAAAACTGGACAGCAAACCTGATTGAAATGGAAAGCCATTGACTCTGAAGCTGTATAACATTATGTGTTACAGGTATATTTAGTTCTTTCCAATAACACAGTACTAACGCATTCTGTATCGTTAAAGTAAATAATATTTTTCTCCTTGATGCTCAATAGTCTTTATTTGTACAGTTACCAGTAAAAAAGATTTTGCTTGGCACAGAAATTCCTGCATCAATTTTAACTGTTTAATTTCATCTAGCAATATTTTGTAAAATAATGTAAATGTATGCATTTTTTATTTTCTCGCCTTACAAATTCTTCATAACAGAGTTTCATCAATTGTGCCACAAAATGCTGAAATTTTGACAGAAAAAACCTTATTGCCGGGTCCTGGTAACGAAAAAGTGGATAAATCCAGTTGGTAAATTAAGAAGAAAGAAAAATCCTCTAACTTGTGATGTAGCAGGAATTCAAGTTTTGTTGGTTCTTGTTACCGAAAATTCGATTGATGGCACGCCATCTATGCTCAATGCTAATGGCTACTTTCGTGTTCTATTTGTAAAACGCATGTCACATCAAATCAATTTTTCAATATAACATTCAAATCAATATAATAATGTGGAGCGTTTAGAAACATTGCGAGAAAGTATGTGACTTGGGAGTAACCCTAGTGTTTTGTAGTGAGCTGTTGATTGACACCTGATGAATATGATTTCTGTGTCGTGTTATAATTTTAGACATCCGCATTAGGTGAAAATATGTTCATACTTGAGTAAGTTAGTTTTGACAAAATACACTGATTCGTAAATAAAAATGCAAGATAATTGTATAATTCTTAGTTTAGGAAAGAGAGGCTGGAAGGAATCATATAATTGGGATTTGCTTATTATTTGTACAATTCTTTTCTGAAACCAAAATGTCTGACTCCCATAGAATGTGTCTCCCCAGAATATTTAGCCATATCTCAGACTGGAATGAACATTTGCAAAATACAGAACAACCCATACAAAGGCTGACTGAATTTGAAAGAATTCTGAATGTGTAGAATGGAACGGAGGTTTCATGTTTCACTGAATCAAGAGACCCAGAAATTTTGTCACCTTAAAATCAGTCAGTTGCAAATTAGTCATTTCCAATAGAGTATACAATTGTTTATTTGAAATGGATAAACTGCAATAAAAGAAGTTTTTTTTTTTTTTTTTTTTTTTACCATTAATTTGTTATTACAAAACCAATTTGAAACACCTGATATTGTAAGACTTTTTGTTTCTTTATTGAAAAGAATATTCATACATCAATCACGAGAACCAAACTTATAGTTATCTTAATTAGAATAAGTTGCTTTAGTAAGAATAAATTGCTTCATTATTTCACGAATGAACTCACCTTATAGTACGGTAAAACAATCAAAACTTGACTTGTTGAATTTAAGAGAGGATCAGCATGCCCTGATATGGCTGAATCAATGCACTTTATGATATTGGGATGATCTAGTGCTTTGTAATATTGTATTTCTTTCAACGCCAACTTCTGGTCCTCTATACCATGGCATACTATTTTCTTAACAGCAAAATGCTGCCGGGTATTAGACTCTTCCACAAGGTCCACAGTACTGAAACCCCTAAAAAATTAAAATATATTTAACACAGATTTGTATTGAAGTTTGACATGTTAATTTAACTTTCAGTAAATATAACTGTGTGATAACCCCTCTCCCCCTCCAGAGAGTAGTTTTAATGTTTAGTTGCTTCTATTAAATGACATTTAAAACAATCGATTACTAGTACACTTTCTATTCCCTGCACTTCGAAGGGTATGTTTAAATTTACGAAGCATCAGCAAATTTCTCTCAAAGTAGGGAAAAGAAATGATTAAGAATTTTGACATTTAAGCTTGCTGCTATACTGAACAGCATAATGTATTTTCTTTTATGCGTAAAAGACAAAAGAAGAAAATATTGTATGAGTACACTAAAATATAATTAATAGTGTCAGAATGATATGTGACCATAAAAAAAATTAACATGTGTATAGTATACGTGTTACCTACAGCTAGAAAGATTTCAAACTGATGCAACTGGCAATAATAACCGAGTGTATTATCATGGAGATGAGGGAGAAAGATATTTGAAGCCTGTACGGATCTTGATTTGATGAGGGCTGCCATTTACTGTGTGACTAATGGTCATCAATAATATGTTTAGAAGCTGGGAGGCCACACTTCACTGCTAATCATGAAGGGGGGAGCTATTTCAGTGACACCAGATGATCTGTCATTAGTTTCTTCTACTTAAACTAAACTCAAAGTAATCACAAGTATTTACAATATGCCATGTCATAATTACTGTAAACAATGTAATATGCTTTATGACTTAATTCAATTTCAAATAACTGCAAACTTGCATTTGTTTACTAGTGTAAATTATTTGGCATTGTCAACTTGTAGGTACAGATATTTTTTGATGGCCTTAATAATATTCCAGTCAATTTGTGCAACGAATAGCTTCAGAACACAAATCGTATTAAGGCATCAAATAATAACACATACATAATAATAATACGCATGCAAGACAACACAAAGAAACGTCAGATCCAGATTTCCAATTATGTTTCACACCAAATTTTACAATTTTCAAATTAACACTTCAGACAGTAATATGGATAAAATACTGAGATATATTTATATTTACACTTACCCTACACCTAAATTTTCCATCACGTAATATTTCTTTGAATTAACATGAAGAGTCTCTCTTGAGCATATGCAGCCCATTCTTAAAATTATACTCAATCCCAAACTATTCATAATGAAAAGTGATTTAGGACTTGTCAATACATTATACAACCAAATCTTACACGGGATATTATCTAGGAATATATTCATCCAGCAATATCATCATGACATAACTGTAACATTTCTTCAACATGTAGAATAAATAGATTCTCCTGTAATTCGACTGCACCTATCAAACGTCAAACGCCAGCCACACATTTTAACACACAACACATCACATGCCAACATTAAATGCCACTGTGTCACACAATCACTCTGTAACCAACAACCAACCAGCGGATTATAATTGGTGTTTTATTTCTTGGCGCGTGAGGGCCTGTCTTCACAATCAGGAATCAGGATCTCGCCAGATCTCACGGCCGCTCGCGGCACTTCGCATCGCGTCTTTCTCAGGCGTGCCGCTAGATGTCGCATGATCGCCAGCACTGCTCGATACGGTTGCGATCATGTGATACCTAGCGGCACGACTGACAAAGACCAGAAATGCCGTGAGAAATTATTTTGAGAAGAACGCCCCGAAGCGCCAAAAAATAAAAACCCAAGTTTACCTAATATTCTCTGCAAATTACTGCGAACAGTGTAGAGATGTCCAGAAGCTGTGACTTTTAGAAGTTCGAAAGGCAGCACCGTCGCCGCTTGGTGACAAGCGACAGCCTGCTAGAAGCCGTGAACTTATGGATAAAACTCAACATAAGTGTCGATTTTCTTTTAAAACGTGACTATTCTTCGTTGGAGGATTCCCTTTGCATATAATGGTTTAAAAACGTTTTTGTTTTGTTTATATACACTTTCTCAGAGTGAGACGTTCTTTTTTCTCTAAAATAACTTGGATTTTCACGGTAACCAAGTTGTGTCCGATAGCGGACTGGGGCAAAAGGAGCCAGAAGAGACAGAGTAAGCCTTTCTGCTCCTCCAAATCAGGAATGTAAAATTAGAGCATCCTCGAAAAAAGAGGACAAAGGTAGATTTCTGCTTCGAAGCAAGAAAAGTTAGATGATTATTTCCAGTCAACAAAAAGTTACAGGTTCCGCTCAACTTCGTAATTCGCAATTTAATTCTAAACATTGTCCTGCCTTTCTCAGATGTTTCACGTGAAAACGTATGGAGATTTTCCACATGTTTGCTGTAATATAAACAACCCACTAAAGGACATAGCTCTCAATAAATAAATTGTCATTTACTTGCATATCCTGAACGTGTTGTATAAACACATCTTTATACGTATTTGCAACTAATATTTTGTGGATCTTCAAGACTTTATTTGTGTAAAAGCTAAGCTCAAATATTACGTTGGTCACCAAATCAATTGTTTTCTTCTGTCATCAGGGCCATCAAGTCGTGTCCCAGTTGTATTGCAAGAACTGGTATGAAATGTTCATTAAAACTTGCTTTTTTTTCATGCGTCTACATAAACGCAACGCGTCTCCAAGCTCCTTAGGGGCGCTTTCGGAGTAAACCTCCATTATTTAACATTGCCAAATCCGCCACGTCTCGTCGCTATCAGTTGTCAAGAGGGCCGCGAGGTCGCATCTCCGCGTACGCGCCTACTACCACGTGCGTCACAACCCAGCGGCCAGAATTGGGAAGAAATTAGGGCAATGGTAGGGTTTAGGACACTTCACAAAGGTTGGACTAGCCCTTGTGAAGCTGCCAAACTCGTTTAGCTGGTACAAATTTCACACGCATTAGATTGTCCGGATATCGACGGGAATCGAACCCTTGGTTCTTGGTAAGCGACTTCGCTCTTAAATCACGATATGACTCAGTTAAGCAAAAGATACTAAAAATACGTTTCATTAAAAATATTAGCATTAAAGTCATTGGGCGTAACAAATAATATTTTAATCTCGTGACTTGAGTATTGGAGCTCAACCGTCAAAATTTGAATTCAGCACAGGAAAGTGCGAACACGTTTTAAAAATTTGATAAAAATGCAATATCTATCCTCGTCGGTGAAAGGCGAGCGACTTTGCTCTGAACCAACAGATAGAAATAGACTTACAACAGAGACACTTATAGATAAGATCCTTTGCTTGCACCACTCTATATGATAAGAAGTGCAGGTTATTCCACTAAGTTCGCACACGCACTTCCTTTTGGCTCGTGCAAACTCTTAGTTTTCCAATGTAAAAAGTGGAAACCGTGAACTGCCAGCCTGGTAACCACATGCCTCATCTCATAGTTTGTCGTTGTCCATTTTCTGTTTGTCATTGCTTCTATGGCGTAGAATTCTGGCCAGATCTGTCTCCTTTTATTTACTAGGCTGTCCGGGTGACGCCGCGTCCATGGCAAAGATGCCGACGTTTCGGTCGCCATTCTGCGACCTTCTTCAGGGCGTAACGCGCGGAGATGTGCTGCGCACGAGTTTAAATGGGGCGCAGTTTCTCCTCTACCCGAGTGCCGGTTGGCCGGGTGGTCGCCAATGAGAAGAGAGTGCACCGGCCAATCAGGGTCTCCTTTTACTTTCCCGTATACGTACGTATATACGAAGTAGTATACGTAGTTTAGGAAAAGTTATGTGATGCTGCGGAGAATCGATTTCGACAGAAATACACGGGGTCCCCTGATTCCGACATAGTGATTTCTTTTCAAATCGAAGAAATCCGTCTCAATCAAATCTTTGAGATTTTGAAAAAAGTCTTTAAAATTTGGGGGTACTTTACAGGAAGCCGTCCGGACATTTTCTAAATTTTCTCAAAAAAGACTCCAAATTTGTTGTTTAAATTTCTTGCAAGAATAGAGTAAAATATACTTATGAAGGTCGCATAGATCAGATTTTCAGGTTCAACTCTAAATTTTCAAAACTTTCAAAATTTTTCTGGCATCATCTTACAACTACAAAATTGAAAATAAGTTGTTTTTTTTTCATTCAAATACAATTTGTTCTCCATAGTAAGTTCTTTATTAAGGCCATGCTCATTTTTTTAAATTTTAGTATTTTCGTGCAATATGTGAAATTAAAAAAAAATGCAAAAACAAGTTTTTCTGAGAAATGGCTCCAAATTTTTCCTTTAAACTTTTGGTAAGGATTGTGCTAAATGCGCTCTATAAGATGACATAAACGCCATTTTGTTAATTCTTTGGTTTCTCAAAAAATTAAATTTTTTTGGCTCGTCTCTCACATCGTTAATATCTAAATTAGCAGCATATTTTTTATGTTAATGCATTTATGAGTACAAGTGCTTTATATAATGTGAGATAAAGTTTCCCAAAAACTCAAGTTTTCTGTGAAAATGAGCTCAAAATTACACATTTTCAGAAACGCTCAAACATCATTTTCTCAAATCTGCTCCAAGTTTTTTTCTTGTTTAAGATGATAGAATTTGCCGTATTCATTTGTTTTTTCAAAAATTACACAAATTAATTCTGTTTATGGATTTGGGGAAGAAGGGAATTTTTGTTTGAAACAAGGGGCACCTATGGAACAACTGCCCCAGGCCCCTGATATTCTATGGGCGTCCCTGCCAGGAACTTCCTTGCTTTTTATTAATGCAAAGAGTTGCTCTTACTTCTTCTGAGGCAAGATATCCTACAACCCCTTGAAGTTCTTGAACAAGCAAATAAGGAAAATGCAGAATACACTGAATTACAGACCTAAAGAGATTATAGAGAAAGCTGAAGCATTTCTAGTTGCAATGTTATTAAATTATGCAACTGTTACCATATGCATGAGATAGCATGTTCTGTTGTAGCACAATTATTTCAGATACATTTGTAATCAGGGGCAGATTTACACATAGGCACAGGAAGCACATGCCTACAGCGGCAAAAATTGTGGACTAAATTTGTCTACATATTTCTAAAATTTATAATATGATTAAATTATTCAAATTATAAATTTCAGAAATGATATGCATTTAATTGCATGTAATTTTGATCATCTCTTTGAAAAGGTCTTATTTCATTCATATTTTCTAGTGTTAAATGTAAACATTGTGTAATTTTGAGAATGACAGAATACTAAATATGTATAATTATGGAGAAAACAACAATGAATTTAGTTATTTCTATATATAAAATATAGGATTTAAACATCAATTGATTTCCCGTAGAAAAAATCCATGCGTGCAAATGATAGATTATATCAAATTTAATTTTAATCGTAAATATGTGTGTCCAATTTTGAAACAAAAGTTATACTTGTTATTAATATAACGTCTTTCCTGTGTCATTTGAAAAACAATTGGGCCGCAATGTTTTGCTTGCCTACATGCAACAAAGTTGTTAATCTGCCTCTACCTGTAGCATTTGAGAACGTAACGAATTTTTTCTATTAACAAGATGAAGATTAGAAGAAGTCATTGGTGCTTGATTAAGCCCTAGCTATCTTTTCCCTTACCCGAAATCGGTAAGAATTGTATTCCAAGAGTGATGCATAAATCCTCTTTCCCTTACCTCAACATTAGTTTATTTTTTGTTGCAACATTAATTAGTGAATACTAGGAAATGTTTAGCATTGAAACACTCAGTGACTCTTGTCTAGGCAGAACACCATAGACTGTGTAAATTATATTTAAACTCAATAATAAAGAGATTACTGTAAAAGATTTAAATATTCATCAACATCTCTGGTAAAGAAATATGTTTGACTAAGGCAGGAATAGGAACTCTGGGAAAATATTTTTGGGTTGATTATGCAATAGATAGAAAAATTGTCTAGCAAAATGTTTGTACTTATAAAACTATACAAATGATATGTACAAATATAACATTTAATAAACATTATGGCATAAAGAGTCATTTAACCATTTCATTCTTTACAATTAATTTCTCAGTTCTACTCTATAAAAATAGAGATTATAAAAACAATAAAAATAAATACATTATACATTCATACACCTATTACTACTTGCAGTACTTTGCTGATTCCTATCACAATATGCCTAAAACAAATTTATGTACATGACTACCTCAAATGTAAAATAAGACAATACCATTCATTGCACAACAAAATCACTTGGTAATTGCCATGTGGATATCACATTCCAAGGCAAACAGTTCAACCACTAACAAGACAGAAAGCAATAGTTTTATACAATTACTTTCATGACCTTTTGTGGGTCTTTTCCTCGATGAAAAAAACAAACAAAAATAAATAAAAAATAAAAGCTTATAAGTAATCCACATTAAACATTCTATTCTAACATCACCAGAGAAATATTATGAAAAACTTTGTGTGAATTTAAGCACACAAAAATTCACCTTAAAGAATGACTTAATCCTACAACTTACATCTAATTAAATTTTTATTCTTCCCTCAAGCACCCTCAAACTAAGCAAGTGGCCTTATAAAAAACACAAGAAAAGGTCATAAATACTGTTCCAGAAATCTTACGAATAGCCATTTAAATACAAATAAAAATCTCAATTATTATTGTGGAACATTAAGCAGATTTAGTCAATCTAAAAATGATACTAAAAGAGGTATGGTGGTTGCTAAAAGAGACGGAGACAGACTGTATGATTGCTACTTGGGTGGCAAAGGAAGGGAGCTACAATGAATAAAAAAGTTATATGTTTGATCACTGAACACTTTCAACTACATTCAGCATCGTTGTTTTCCAATTACTCTGCATAAATTAATTACAAACAATTCAAAAGTACACTGGCAAGAATTAAAACCATAAGTTCATTCTATGATCATGCTAGTTTTGTATTTAACAATTTTCCCAACACATTTGTGCATGTGCCTTTGGCAATACACTGATTAATTCATTAAAATTAATGAGAGTGTTAAACAATCAAGTACTTTACACATAGACTCCCATAGAAATACTGTAATGTTCTGTTTCTCATTCCTCAAATAACTATAATTGTACAATGCTCAATTGTAAATACCACTAATGGCAGTCTAACCTTTTGCTCCCCCATGTTGAGTGAGACTTCACATTGAAAACATTGTCTTCTGCTCCAATGTTGAGTCCCAACTCCAGACGTTTTTCATTATTTTCTGTGCTCTGAATTCATGTTAAATTCAACAGGGAGGGCAGAACTTTTTAAGTAAACAATTGGTAGATTTCTATCACATTCACTGTACAATTTCACATTGTTAGACAGTTCATTAGGCTAATAATTGGCTTAAGTTATGTTGATATAAATCAAATACATGCCTTCCCAATCTTGTTACAATAGCACATCGGCTTCAGAGCCAACAAAGCAAGCAGGAAACCCTAGTTTGATACCAGCTCCTCCAGAATTTAGTTGAGAACAAAAGGCGCGATTCAAGAACATTGAGGGTGAATAAGGCAAAAGTCTATTGTGGTTATTGTTGTGTCACTTCGGTTAAAACTGTCTACTGAACACTTAAACTGGTTAAAAGTGTGGTGATGTGGACAAAATGTTTTTATTTTTTCTTAACCAAAATGCCTTATCATGTTTGCACTAAAACATAGAAACTGCTAATGCATTGTGGTAGCGCATCAGGATTTAAATAAAGAGCTGATATAAAAGCAGGCCCTGAAGAGTTAGAAGTCCAAAGGGTTAATTATGAAACTGATTAAATTTGAACTGTTTAAGTTCCAGTAGTCAAACATATACAGTAAAATATGTCTAAACCGGAACCTGTACAAGCCGTAAACCTGCCTTAGCTGGAAATTTTTCCTGGCCCGTGAAGTGAAATGGCATTTTACACAACATAAAACGGAACCTCTCCAATGCGGACATGGAACGGTTTTTCATATCTTGCTAGGAAAAAAATCTTTACAAAATGGGATTCCTTTGAATTTAATGCAATTGGCAAAGAGACGTAAAATGTTCTTAATGAAATGAATGCATCTGCTAACCTGTTTAAAATTCTATGCCTGTGACACGCGATTTAGTAGTGGGAGCCGGACATTAAAGGAGAAAGGCTTTAACTATCAGCTTAGAATTCGATCTTGACGCCATTTGTCTCTCGAGGCATAGAACTTCGGGGAATTCCCTCTCTCCCGACTCTTTGAGTGTGGGAAGGTGTATGGGCATTGCTTTTATTCATGCATCTCTATGCCCCGTGAAAATCATAAGTTGTCCACTAGATGCTTTGAAAGAGTCAGTCTAAATACATCCAGTGTTAAACATTCATTTATTGGTGATTTCTTCCATAAATACATTATATGTTAATGTATTTTGATAATTATAATAAAGTCATGTACTTCAGTCAGTTATTGACTACTTCCAGGGCAGAACTATCAATATCATGTGTCATAAAATGAACAACCTTGCATAAAATGGAAAGCTCTCTAAACTGAATTTTTTTTGTCCCAACCTATTCCAGTTTTGACGGATTTTACTGTACTCATATACTGTTATTTGAGCAAGTGACTTCACACACACACTGGCCCTTAGTAAGGAAAAGATCCTTTTAGCACTAAATCTGCTTCTTAATATGATCATAACTTTTTACAAAATGTAAAAGAATTTTGGATCTTTTGTTGAAAAATGGTTTATATAAGAATATTACGTATTTTATTTAAATATCAATTGAATTGTATAATTGTTTGGAACTGCTAAGAAATCTACTTTGTGTATTTCACATATTTTCTCTAAACAAGTCGATGAGACTTGTAAATAATGACAGAGCTAAAATATGACTATAAAAATGTTTCTAATTTTGTTGGCATTGACAAAACTGTTTACAAGCTTCATACCAAACAAAAAGGTGAATCTTATTCTGTGTAAAATTAAAATAAATAATCACCAGAATTGGCAGCTGTTCTGATTATGGCAACACCTAATATGCCAGTGACAGTCCCCCTATCCAGACTGTGATGTCAGTTAAGTTCTATACCTTCCTTTTCATAATTGACTTACCCCACAATTGGGAAAGAAGTGAACATCCTAAAACAATAGAAAATGGCTAATAATAATAATAAAAATAATAATAATAACAACAACAGCAAAACTGTCTGAAAACAAATATTTTTTAAAAGGGCATTCTCATAGGCATCATTATTAAACAAGAGTTAAGAGCTTTAATTAACATGTTCACTGTCCTCTGAGCCATATGTGGTTCACAAACTGTAACACCACATGTGAGTCACGAATGTTTACAACCTCTCCAATATTTCCACAAAACTTGTCATAGCTGCAGAGATTTTGATTTGAACTTGCTAGGACGGTCATAGAATTTTGAAATGCACTCAGATGTGTGAAAAATTTAATTTTTGAGAAAATTATAAAAAAATTATTATTACTATAAAGTCATTTGGACATGTGGATATATTTTGATGTTTTCGTGGGGACAGGGAATGTGTTAAGGTTTTTTCATTTTTCAAGATATTTTCAAAACTAAAAGAGCAAAATCCTTGCTAAGGCCATTCTAACAACAGTGTAATAGGAATCTTCAACATCACAACTGAAAAAAATATCAAACAAAAAGTGCCCAAAGAATAGTAAGATTCAATTTCAAATTTTTAGTTTCTTAACTAATAACAACATCATTAGATCACTCACAGAATCACCTAATTCCTGATATCTTAATATCATAAGAAAACATAATAGTATCTATACACAAAAGAGGAAGTATCGTGAAATGGGAGAATTATAGAGCCATCTGTCTTTCATCACTCATGAGCAAAGTTTATTCAAGGACTGTGAAAGCTAAACTGAGAAGGGTAGAACAAGAAGATATGGAAGCAGAGCTAAGTGCTTTTTGACCATATAGACAAACACAAGATCATATCTGTATCCAACAAACCATCATAGAGAAAATAATAAATAGGAGAAAAATGTATTTGTTGTTTTCATAGATCTGAATTCAGCTTTCAATACTGTATCAAGGAAAGAATTATGGGCAACAATACAAAAGGCAATCAAATTGGTAGAAGCCATCAAAAGCATATACAGAACATTTATGCTACTCGAAGGTAAGGGGTATCTTTAAGCTCACTTTATTTATTATATTTATGGACAAAATAGTTAAACAGACAAAAAGGACTACTAAGACGTGTAAAGTACGAATTTGGAGGATGCGGCCATTATGGATGCAGTCACTAATATACACAGAGGCACTCAATGCAAGAAGCTCAGAGGAATTGCAGGAGATGGTCCAAGAGTGGGGACATGCACAGGAAGATAGAGTTGAATATGAATACAAATAAGAGTAATATTATGTGCATATGTAAAGAAGGGAACAAAAGAGGATCACCTGGAGAGACACTAGCTACCAGTACAAGGGTACAATAACATCAGGGGATGATATGAACAATAGAATCAAGAAGGCAAACTCTGTGTCCTAGCAAATAAGTAAAAATTTTCTACACATGTATGTTAGCACAAAAATAAAATTACAGATATACAGTTCTATATGTACACCAACTTTTATACACGGAATGGAAAGCTTGCCAAGTAATACTAATATAAAAAGCACAGCAATAGAAATGGAGTTCTTATATAGAACTTACTAGAACTCTTATTAGTGAGCACAACCAGGAGAGAACAAGAAATATTACTATCAGAGGTGAACTTGCTGACAATGCTAAATAAATTCTCGGCTATCCGGGAGATGCCGCGTCGTTGGCTGGGGTGCCGACGTTTCGCCTGACATGTCGCAGGCTTCTTCAGGGCAGTGAGGCTCGTCTAGTTTCATAACCATCTTAAAATTTGTCCTTACTTTGAACGATTCTTCCACAAATTTCATGATTTTTCCAGAGCAATGAAATTTCCTGTTTTTTCTCGGCAGCATGAAAGCAGCCACCCTGACCTTCCATTATGGTTAACAGGGTATTCTAGATCAACGACCTTAGTGTTACAGGAAACAAGGTATCATCCAAAATTGAGGGGCTCAGAGAAATAACTTCATACTCCCACAAAATTTCAAAACCAAATACAATAAATCGATAAAAGGGTCATTTTAATCCCAGAGAAACATCTTTTGCGTAATTCTTAATTTATTTTATATGCCTTTGACTGCTAAACTGAACTGAATTATAGAGAACTTTTGGTGGAAAAATGAAAAATCTACCTTATCGTAAAAACTGAGGAAAAGCAAAGAAATATTGTCTTTTATCACTCATTAGCATTGCAAAAGGATATTTTGATGAGTCTTTTCAAGATAAATCTAATACTAGGATATTTTGATGTGTCTTTTCAAGATAAATCTAATGCCCTTGATTATTATTATTATTATTATTATTATTATTATTATTATTATTATTATTATTATTATTATTATTAGTCAATATTCATTGAACTTTCATAATTATCACAGATATTTCTTACACAAAAAGCAACTTTCCCGTTTACTAATAATTTCACGATACATAAACACAGAAAACACTCATCTAATTTTAAGGTATTTTTAGTTTTAAGATGTTCACTCTGTTTAAACTGTGATGGTAAGTGCACAATATAAAAAAAATTTCAATACTCTAACATATGTAATATAATGGAGTATTGCAAATTTTCAGAAAGAGTAAGGGTGATAAACATTCTTAAACAGTGTTTAACATGACACATATCAATGGAACAGCTGCTGAAAAACATTACTGTTAATTCCAACTGGAGTAACAAACATTTTAAGTTGTCCTTTAGAAAATTCCAAAGTGTTAAAGGTTAAAGTATGTTTCACATACATATAAAAGAACAGGTATGTCTGTTGTTACACAAGAGAAATAACTGGTGTGGTAAAAAGTTCCATAAACTACTGAGCATGTAACAATAATATTACAAAATTTTAATGCATTATGCAGTATCATGAAATAAAACACAAAATATTTTATTTGTTAGCCTATGAAATTAGGGATAACAGATTTTTTTTCATTGAGCTTTTCAATTATTAGTTAAACTAATGAATTTCTAAAATATAATGCATCTACTTAACACCTCTGCAGAGCATGGACAGATGTTTCTGGCTGTCAATCACTCAGTTGTGGCCCTGTGTGATCTCCTGATGTGTTGGCATGGGAGATTTTTCATTTTCTTTGTCATAGACATGTTGGAAAGGGCCAAAACATTTTACACTAATTTGTGGTCTCTGGCTGGTGAGATGTTGCTGTTAGATTTTTTGAGGGGTGTTAGCTATTGGACAGAATACACAAACACAATCCACACACACAATAAAAGATTTTCAGGAACAATTATTAAGAGAAATTTCTAACGCAAACAAGACTTTAATACATGTTGGTCAGAATAATGTCGTCAGAGTCAGAAGTACATAGATGTTGGCAAAGCATTTTTCTCCAGAGAGGTAAATTATGTTGGCCATTGCCACAACCAGGGCCACCTCACTGACAGATTCTGTAGAGTTGGTTGTCTATTGACGGAGTCGAGTGCTGTGAGCAAACAGATAGATAGACACCCAATTTTTTACGGCCTGTTATAAACACAAAACAACATGACTATATGCATTCAGAATAATGAATTTAAATACAGTAGTAATTAACATTCTTCAGGTCTCTTCAGATTAAATCTACAAAGTAATTAAAGAAATAATGACTTTAATAATTAAGTGGATGATTTTTAAACTCGACTAACAAAAACATTACGTTGATTCTAGTCTTGCTACACATTAAATGCCTGTGTGATCTAAACATGTTAGATTTTATGTACACACAGAAAGGTTTGTTCAGCAGCAGAATTAAAACATAATTTGAGTAGAAAATCAAAAACCTTGAGTTAGAAATGTCAAAACAACGCAAATCTGGAAAATCCAATAATTTTTTATGGTAAATATACGTTTCAAATTAATATATTGGATGTATTCAATATAACACCTTTTATAAATAAAAAGAATAAGAACAGTGTATCCTGAACACTTTCATAAAGGCAATTGTAGACTGCAACAATTCTTTTAGAAATGTTTAAGCAGATATATTTTATATCCACGAGTGTTTAAACTCTTATGCTAAGAAGCTGTAATCAACATATGGTCCCAATGCCACTGTTGAGAGGAACTTTCGGAACAAGCAGCTACATATAGATCACTGCCTGATGTTAGGGATGCGGATTCCAAGCACAGTCCTGTTTGCTGGTTGACCATCTGCTTTACCTGCAACACACCGGTAACTTTCAAATAGTATTAACTATGAGATCTTTTTGTTGTTGCTTTATTTTTTTAAATCTCTCTTTAGTTTCTCTTCTAGGGTCCCATAAGGAACAAAAGAGAATGCCTATCAATAAGACAATTTGCGATTTAAATGTGACTGAAGAATAAAACTACTTTAAAAAATTCTCAGAAACCCTCTTCATATAAAACATGTACATCACATACACCCATATCTAGATACTCCTCAACTATATCCAGCACTTCTACAGGCCCTTCATTATTCAACACACAAAAAACTGGAAACAAACATATATTCTGTCAACAGTGCTTTGTAGCAGTGATCTTTCTAACTGACATATTGTGTAAGTATAGATTATAACACATTTATAACGATTGAAATGAATTTACATAAAAAATTACAATACCCCTACTTACAGGAGAAATTTTCCATTCTTGGTTTCCGCGCAGTCCATGGCACTTATACATCACAACTTTATGTTGATATGGTGGTGACTTTTCTCTTTGAACTTCAGCACAATTTTCTTCACGGCGAAGCTCTCCAGTTTTGCTCAATGAAAAATACTATGAACAAAGGTTTTTTAGTCTCTAGTATCCAAATTTCATAACATATCCAATGATAAAAAAATGCATAATTTCTACCTGACTGGCAGTGAGGGCTGTATGACATGAATAAATTCCCAGATCATACTGAGACTTGCTTGATCGCTGCAAATGGTCCAGGCAGAGGTTTAAGTTATTTCTCACCTAAAAATATCAGTCTAATATCACATAAAGAAACATTAAAGGACTGAAAATTGATTATTTACATGTTATTCAAATAATGATTATAATATAGAGAATTTTTTGGTGAACTACAAAAATGTGAACATTGTTAATATTTATTGAAAATGTTATATTATTGATATCAAACATTCCCCTAGCAACAGCAAATGTTAAAGCTCAAGAATAAATGAAGATGTAAAGTCTAATCAAGATTAACACTTATTTACGATATACTGCAAAATCTTAATTTTCATGGCAAGAGATTTATGAAAAAGTTTTTGGGTATTTCAAAATGTAAGCAGTTATGAAATATAACTTTTTGTAATATGGGAGAGCCTAACAAAATGTTTGCTTAAGGAAACAATATCTTTTTTTAATATATATTTATACATTAATATGAACAAATTTATTACACATAAACTATTTTTTCCTAATTTCCTAGAACATTCTTTTTGTGTAGTATTTGCTCAGAGCTATTTGGGAGCTTGAGTACACCTGGCAACATTGTGCCATTTTCATTGGGTTGAAGAAGGATGACGAAGTTCTTTATTCACATTCTTGGCATATTTTAACTCAATTTGAAAAGATTAGCTTTCCATTAAGGTCACAAACAGACATCCTTCACTTAAAATTTTTGTTACCAAAAATGAATTATTCCGAAATGGTTTTCATTCCATCACCAATACATTAAAAATTCTAACAACAAATATTTTGTTAGGTCATATTTTTTGCCACATCCTCATAAATGCAAGGTTGTGCAGATGCATGCTTATTTTCAGCACATTAGAGTCTTTAACATCCAGACAATAGTAAATAATAAAAATTCACATTACATAGCTGTAATTACAATGATGAGTTTTTTTAAATTTATTTCTACACTTTTAAATAATGCAATTGTTTTCTCTTTTTATTTATGAATTTGAAATTTCCATAGATCATTTTTATCAACAGAGTATGACACACCCTACGCAACATTCTTACAGTACAGAAAACATGGAACTAAAAAGACATTTATATATACAGGGACCGCCACCCCTTTTGCAATTTTTCTTCACATGCAATTTTGAGATACAGATTTAATGTTTGGCAAACATAAATTCTGTAAGAGAGAGACTCAATTCCAGTGTTGAAGTCATGGTGGGAGTATGTCTTCAACACTGAAGAAACAACAAGAAAATTATCTCAGCTTTTGGCAGTCAATAATGACACGCATACATGTATTTGACCAATGCCATCGACACTTTAGTATGTTTCAATAAGAGTAGATGGCACTGACGTGACCCTTGAGCTTACTGGCCATTGGCTGAAAATGCCAGAATAAAATGTTCTGCCATTGATGTGAAAAGTCTCTGAAGCTAATTGTGTCTTATTAGCTGCCGAAGCTCTTCATACATATCCCCACCACAGGTGTCGAGTCTCCTCCTTACAAACTTCATTACCAAGATAGATATGCTAAGTAACATACCAACTAAACAATACATTTCTGAAATTAAAGGGGGTTTCTTACATTTTCAAAATAATTCAGAACAAAATAATTAATATCTACATCAAAAACGGGAATAAGTATGAATGTAAGACAAAATAATGAAAATAGCATAAAGTATCAAGCACAGAATGTTAAAACACCTACCAAAAGAAGAGACTAACAAGTACAACAAATGTGTTTAAGCATATAGTTTTCTCATTTAATATTAGGTAATTAGAGAATGACAATTAAGATGACATACTCGACCATACGCCTGGACATTTTCATCCAATATGAACTTTTGGGGGTAGATGTTTTCCAGATACCACTTGAAACTTTTGCATTTCAATCGTTCACGCAGTTCTTTCCTATCACTAATATCTCCAATGTCTATATTCTAGAAATAAAAACATACGTATTATAAACATCTTGCTAAAACTAGGTATCTTAAAAACTATTCTTGATATTTTGTATTTGGTATCTCATACAAATTAATGATTTTACATTGTATAATTTTTTGTGTAATCTCGGCTTTTTGCCTTTATTTTTCAATAATTAAATAAATAGATAAAATAAAATATTTGATTGATACATTACGGTTATTTATAGATATCCTATGTTCAATATGCTTGCTTACCAATAAATCAGGCCGATGCATATAGAAGAGGCGTTTATAGGAATCCATCCACACCTCAACAAGACGAGCAGTATTAATACCATGGGTATCTTTACCTCCTGGAAACTTGTATGGATGAAAGTCACGAAAAATATGGCCCACTCGGGAACAAGGAATCGTCTCCAGTGAACCACCGCACTGCCATACCTTTCCAAAATATAAAAAGGATTAGCATAACACATTATGATTTATTGACATTGAGATAAATTGGTCACATGAAATTATAGGAAAGTAGATGTTGTAAAACGCAAATGCTTAAAATACTTGCATAAGCATCTGTACAGGGTGAGAGTAGCTTGTTACTTTGTAATTTCCTACCGTTGTGCTTTGATGAAGTTTCACTAATAGAAGATATGTCAATAAATTTTAGATTAAATAAATGTAATCAGATTCTAAATAATTATGTAATTAATCTATATTAACATGTTTGAACTGAATTTGTAAATAAAATCTGAAACAAGCTATCTTTAATACATTTGGCTGAAAGAGGAAAAATAAATAAAAAACAATACTAACTCTGAATGACATTTCCAAATTCTCTCCACCCCAAACATCCATTTGCTCATCATAGGATCCAATTTCCCAGAAATAATTTCTGTCAATGGCAAAGAGACCACCAGCCATAGTAGGTGACCTATACAGATCCACAAAAATGAACTGTCATCAATACTGTAAAATAATTAAATTCTAAATTTAGTCATTTTTCTGATTGTCTCAATAGATAAATTACCTAGTGGGAGCTACAGGTGACTGACGACGTTTCTCTTCTTCAGGAGGGATGTTGAACCACGTGAAATGACCACTCCAAGTAAAGCCACCAATTTGGAAAAACTCAGGGGCACTTTTACTATAAGAATATTCAAAGGTCTGGTCATCAATAACATCGATTATAGGAACCAAAACAGCAGTTCGCTTTTCCTTAATTCTCTGAAGTAGAGGTCTCAACCTTAAACCAAACAAGACTAATTTTAGAGCAGACATGAGCAAATTACATTTTATCATGGAACATTGCAATTTATTAATCTTCTGAATATATTTTCCTTAAACCAGATACACTATATGTTCCCAGCCACTGAAATGAAAACAGTAGTTTGTAGAAACTCACGTTTATTCAAACATACAATTTTTGTCCAATACACTTTTAAATAATAACAATAAAAAATAAAAATAAATGTTAAAAAAGGAATCAACTTTTAAAGAAACAATCATTCACTGAAATGTCTGAAAGACACAATGATGATTTCCCATGATATTCAGTAATGGAGGTGTAACTTTCTATATTAATTGTCGTCCACTTTTTAATTTACAGATGGCTCCACACATTTGTTATTAAGTGAGTTCCGAGCTACCACTTGTCAAATCCTGAGTACTGTGGATGATAGCTCGCTATTTGCTGAGCTCCAAATATTCAGTATCTGCCTATCCACAGCATGTCGGTTTTTTGGACACATTAAGAGTAAAGAAAGTGAACATTTGTTAATCACCTTGGCTATTTGGGAGTGGACATTTGTTACTCACTGTGTGTGAAGCTACCGTAAGAGGCAATTTTTTTTAAACTTATGATAGTTGAAATAAACCCACCTAAAATTCAAGAGTATACTCAATTTAACAATACTACAGAATTAAGATCAAATAGAGTGAAGTAATTATAGAAATTCTAAAGCATAATTTTCCTTCAAAAAAGTGACAAAATAATTGGGAAGAAACTTTGATTCAAGATACGATACACAATCAATGTGTTTCTTTTATTTCATTTCAGCAGAAGCAATATTTTACAGTTATTTAAGTATGCAAATAACACACCTAGGGAATACTTTTTAATGAAATAATTATAAACGTTATCATTGCCAACAATAGCGACGTTTATAATTATTTCATGAAAAATGCCAACGATAACGCACCAGAACACCTATAATACTTTTAAAATTAATTTTCATAAAAGGAGCAGGAGCAAGAATTTAAACATTCTCGGGGAAAAAAGAAAACAATAACAAACTTAAAGGATTCATCTCTCACAAAATGTTTTGAAAACATTTGGGCACTTTCAACTTACCAATCTTCCACTACTTCACAGTGAGAATCCAAGAAGATCAACACATCACCAGTTGCAGCACGTGCTCCAGCTAAACGAGCTCGGATTAAACCTGATCGCTCTGGTAATCGTACAAGACGTACTAGTGATGGAAATCGAGTGCGTATGTAATATTCCAGTTTCCCCTGGAGAACAGCTGCCAATGACATCACAAATTAGTTTTATAATCATGAAAAGAACACATAATAACCGAAACATTTCATCTGAATATTTTCGCTAAATTAATGAATTCAGTAAGATTTTTGACAGCATAAGTCATATTCCTTCAAGGAGAATGATGAAATATTTACAATAATTTGCGTAATTCCCTGAGAAATATTATCAAATAATATGCAACAATCTTTGTGAACATAAAATGTATGTACGTAAACAAATGAATATTAAATAACAAAAAAATAGTTACAAAGCCATTAAATTTTACAGGATGAATCTGCTGAAAGGTTACTCACTGCTTAATGAATGCACGTTCATAAGACATTTGAAAAAGTTTCAGAGGCTCCAAAAACTTCATATTATTATTAATTCATTTTTTAAAGCTTGTCAAACTTCTGATAAATTAAGGTCTTGCGGCAATTTCAGAAAACAGGGAAACACATGCAGTATTAGTTTCAGGGAAACACATACAGTATTATGTTCACTAGTAGTTTTCATTTTATTTCAAATGTTGAAATTTGAACCACAGACTTCATAATAAATACCAGTTTTTCATATTGACAATTTCTACAACACAAGCATGTTAAATATTATATTAGATAGGATAATTATGATTTGATATTATTAAATTGATGTATTTGAGTTGTAAGCACGTTCTGCCAAATACCTAATAAAATAAACAAACATGACAGACATTACAGTTACTCAATAGGCAAACTGCATTGTACTGTATTCAGAGGTGCATTAATGTAAAAGCAGACTAAATAAGTGCCTAGGGCTTCTGCTTCGAGAAGGAATGTTTTTAAACAAAAAGTTATATAATTTTTACAATACATAAAAAAATTTGTAAGATTATTTTTTCCAAATTTTGAAGGTTATAATTTATTTTCACATTAATTGTGATACATAAGATCAATATTTCAATAAGAATAAGGGACTACTTGATTTGGACATGCTTGGGACTCCATTCGATATATAACTGTGCTTAAATGGTAGAGGAGGGCCTTGGGGCCCAGAGTCTTACCATTAATATACGCAACTTTATTATTAATTATATTCTGGTCCTGGTTATATTTAATATCCTGCACAAAATCACATTTCTTTTTTATTCCTATGATCAATTCAGTTGTAAAAGAACAAAATATATAAATTTCAGGTAATATTTTGTGTTCACAATTTAAACCAACCTCTATCACTTTTGTCATCAACAAGTATTATTTCCTTTAAAAGGTGCTTTGGTGAGCCATTTATAACACTGTAGACTGTTCTGATTAAAGGACTCCATGCTTCATTATTGAAGATGATTACAACACTAGCATTTGGTAAATCTTCATCATATTTCCGCCTTTTGCATCTGTAAAAGAATACAAAACATACAAAACCATTCAAAAGATATATTCAAAGTAATAATGCCATTACGCTAACAAAATCGACACAGATTTTATTGAATGTTTCGAAAGAACAAATGTAAAATTCATACAACCAAATTCACACAAACAGATTTCCAATCATTTAATGCGGTGTCAAAATAATGGAACATGACAAGCATGGAAAATAATAACGGTAATATTTTTGTTATCTATTTAATATGTAATAGTATATATTCTCTCCCAATTCATTTGTTAAAAAATAAAAAATTAACTTTTGTAACTATGGGTTCAGAATGTGTATTCTATTATTAAATAATGATAATTTCTATTCTTGTTTTATACTTCTCTTCTAACACTACCCACCAGGCTGCATACACACAGGGAAGCCTAGTGTACAGGAATTTAGAAAAAACTGACAGGTGCTTTGAGTGCTAAAAATATTGGCTAATGATACAAGTTAGAATGAAAGTTACACCTCAAATATACTGTTTACATTCACTGCACTGAGTTATAAATAATATTCAGATATTAAAATCAAGACAAGAGAGAATAGAGGACAAAAATGCTGAAGGCCATATCAAAGTAAATAAAATCATTGATTTATTTTATGTATAATGCTAACATATAAAATCCAAGAGGTATAATGAAATATCTGACCTAAGCAAAGGAAGAATATGAATTGCTATACCCTTTGGTTTTCTACAGATTTCAATGTAAGGACCACGATAATCTTGTATTTAATTAAGTGCCCAGGTAGGGCATACTGCAATTTGTTCTGGAATGCATCATTACCAATTCTTACATGTGAAAAAAATAATTGAAATAGATTATAACTACAACAAATCCTCAACATTACCAAAATTCCTGATAATTTAAATTACAACTCTGGGATGATATATACTTGGGCAAGAAACAGAATGAAAGGGTTACCCTATGGAAGAAAGTTCGATGAAGATTGGCGAGGTCAGTACTAGCAAATCTTTAAATGGGTTTCAACACATACGACCACAAACAAATTAAAAAATAGGGAAGCTTACAATGGATTGCGTGAATCAGGAGTCTTTCGATTATAAGGTATTTTATCACTCAATATTATGTTAAATGCTTCTTTCTTCATTAATTTTTGGGCAAGGGCAGCTTCTTCACTATCAAGTTCAACTGCCACTCCTCCATCTCCAAGACCAGGTATAATGTAAGCTTCATCCTCTTGAATCATATTTTCATATTCTTCAGATGTGTAAGACTTTGATGCAAATGACTCGTTATATTTTTCTAGCATATTGGTGTATCTTTTAAGAGGACTGGAATGTGATGGATTACTTTTTATAACTTTCAATATTTTGGGTCCCTGAGGACCAATCTGCAGACTTTCTTCAAACACTTGTCCGCTTTTAAGAATTTTATTGGTGCTCAAAAACCACAAAATTATCCCGAATAAATTTATGATGAAAACATACTTTAAGAAACGACATTTTCTCCCATAAAGTATCGCTCGGCACATGATTATTGTTTACTTCAAACGAACAAAATACTGAGACATATTACTTAGCGACCCGCAATCTATGTCAAAAAAATGAATATTCACATGTGTGTACTATCATACTAGATTGAAGTTGTGTTATATACCATTAAACATGAACGACATCTGCATCCCAAGTCTGATATACCCCACCACCTTTACAACATTACACGTGTTATCGCTAGTTACAACAGGTAAACAATCTGAATCTGGTGCCACAGACACCACCTTCGCCGATTAAATTGACTCTATCACTATAATCTCTTTGACGATATTGTACGAATGCGATACCCGCCTGTTTGAATGCAGCCTTCTGCCGCTCCCAAGTTTTATAACCTTTCAAGTTTTATAACAAATCAACGATTATTTAGGGATAAATGAAATAGCGTAGTGTAGTAAATAGTATTTCATGACATGGCATTTGCCGTTAAAAAGGCCCGGCACTTTTTCGTGAATGGGTCTCGCATTTTTATACGAAGTATAAATGTAAATATCTGCTTGCTGATTAGAGATCAGAAATCATCGAGAAACTACTATGTTCAAATGTCGTTGTGCTTGTCAGTTAAGAGATATATGTATCGACACAACATCTTGGTTGAGGTGTTACAAATTTAGAAGATACGGAAGGGAGACGGGTTGGTTGACATCTTTAAAGAGGTATCATCGGACCACAAAATGAATTCAAAATCAAATAAATCTAAATAAATATAATGTGCCAGTTTCAAGATTTCACTTACAGAAAAACCAAAGATCGACTCTCAGTAATTCAAACAGTCGATAATGAAAATGGGAAAAGATGACGCCATAAGTTGACATTTCGAGTAAAACCAAATCCATTCAACAGCATGGTTGCATTTCATTACAATGGCATTGGAATCAGCGGTTTCTTAGACCACATGCTAGGCCTCTCCAGTGACAACAGCTGTTTTGCATTTTATAACCGATGCCAAGATCAGTTACAAATGCAGACCCAGACTGGTAGTTCTTGGCGTTTGAATGTTTTGACATTTTTTCCTGTAACAGAAGCAAATGCACCAAATACTTGCCACAAATATAATGTTTAAGAAATCATTTTCTAATTAAAGAAATGCACTTAGATAAAAATTATTATAAATTTATACACAGTGTGAACATTGAGGTATAGCGTGCTACCAATGTTTTAGTGCAAGGACGCCACCAACACTATTGAATATACAAGGTGTCGTGCGATAAGTGTTACGCTCACACTTTATCGGGATACTCAGGATCTGCGCGGTATGTTCATTCTACTTAAAATGGCGAGGGTCTTCTATAGGCACTGATATTGCGTACGTTTTATTGAGCCCAGAACGGCCTGCCCCCAGGCCTATATTAACTTTAGTCGAATTCAGAATAAATTACAGCAAGGAGAGTTGTTGACCTAATCTGATATTCATAAATGCTCGCGTCCGCGCATTTTCCGTGTATTTTCCATTGAAAAAAAAGCTACATATTTAATTTAATAGTCCTGTCTACCAATTAATCACCGCTTCACTCCTCTCGTATCTTGTGAAATAAGAGTTAAATTAAAGGCGCGCGGATAATATACTGTAACATTATACCCGTTGAAGTCATGTCTCCCCAATCTCTGCTATGCAAACCGATTAAGACTTTTATACGACGCTTTTTAGTTTTTATTTTAGTTTTGAGCCCAGATATACAATGTTTAAGTGACTCGACGCATAACGCAGAATTCTATGATACCAATTTTTACTTCTTCGCACTTACTAGCGTAAGAAGGCGTAACAAACTTAAGAAAAGAAATATTGTAATCGTGCGCCGGAAAATGGCGAATTTTGACACAATAGTTATTTACGATATTAGGGTCGTAATACATCTGATTACAATACGATTTTGGAAAATTGCCAAAACGAGTCCGTTAGGACGAGTTTGGTAACCAATTGAGTATTGTAATCAGATGTTACGACACGAATATCGTACAACGTTTTATCCACTTTGTAAAAATTTGTCAGATTTAAGATTAAAATTTCCATTTAGTATTCACATTTTCCCCATTTAAGTAGCGACACTGTTCTGAACAAGGAGAACAATTGAAACGCGCATGGTGTACACATTTCGACAACATGAGCGAATGCAGTTCAGACTCAGAAATAGAAATAGCAACACTAAATAAATAAAGCTGCTATAGATTCTTTGTTACCATACAAATCAAAGAAGAAATATGAGCATGAGTACTCAATTTTTAAGGATTGGTGTGAAAACAAATACGTTCATTGCATATTAGAAAAAGTTTTAATGGCTTACTTTTCCGGCAAGTCAGAAAAGGAAAAACCAAGTAGTCTTTGGACCCAATTTTCTATGCTGAAGAGTACTTTATTAGTTAAGGATAATATTGATATAAGTAAGTTTACCCAGTTGTTAGCATTTTAAAAAAGGAAAAGAGAAGGATATAAAACAAAAAGTCAAAGATATTTTTAAAAGAAGACATACATAAATTTTTAATAGAAGCTGACGATGATAATTATTTGTTGATGAAGGTGACATTAATAATTGGTATATTTGGCGCGTGCCGTAGAGATGAGTTAACGAATCTTGGTATAAAGGTATTTTTATTAATATACCAAACAGTGAGACTTAAATTGCGAGAGAATTTGTAATTAGTGAAGGGAATATTAAAGAATTTAACTGTTTAGAAACATTTCGTAAATATTTTCGCCTTCGGCCTCAAAGTGTCAAGCACGATCGTTTCTTTGTATTTTACAAAAATGGAAAATGTCCTTGCCAACCTGTTGGAATAAAAACTTTTGGAGGCATTCCGAAACTAATAGCAAAGTATCTTGGTTTGCAGAACCCTGCAAGATTTACAGGACATTGTTTTCGGCGATCGTCCGCTTCATTACTAGCAAATGCAGGTGCTGATATGGATATGCTGAAGAGGCACGGTGGATGGAAGTCGTCTTCTTTTGTGAAGGGTATGTGGAATCGCCAGTAGAAAACAAGAAACAAATAGCTATGAAAATTATGAGGGAAAATAGAATTTCAAATACTAATATGAATTGTCAGGTTTCAACATCATCAGGAATTACATTTTCGAATTGCAATTCCTGATGATGTTAATGATATAATAAGTAATTAAGTATGTATATAATAAGTAATTTGTTGTTAATGTATATAATAAGTAATTAAAACATGTTATTATTATTGTTATTATTTGAAAAATTGTTAACAAAGTTATTTAATAATAAATTATTTGAATAATTATTGTTATTCTCAATAGTAGACCATGGAATAGTGCTCGTCTCAGAATAACCCTACTCGTATGCCATTACCGCACTAGTGTGGTAATGAAGTTCAGTTGCCGAGCCCTGGTAACGAAAAAGTGGATACACCCAGTTGCTAAATATAGAAACAATATTCTAAACGTGGCGTAGCCAGAATGCATATTTTGCGCGACCTTCATAACGAAAAATTGATTGGCGACAAAACGACAGTCTTGTCTGTCCGTCTGTGCACAACACTGGCGCATAAACAGTTCAGCCAATTTTCTCCAAAACTGATATTCCCCAATCAATGTAGCTGATGTCGCAGCCCCTTGGATATGAAACCGATATTTTAATGTTGGAGGAGTACTTTACACGATGTCCCTGGAACATTTCCACAAACAAAAAAAAAAAAAAAAATGGATCCAATTTTTGGATTAAATTTTGTTGATGAATAGTGCAAAGGACGTTTAAGAGAGTTGTGCAGGTCTCATTTTCGGTAATAAATTAAACGGTAAAACGGCATAAGCGGCACCCTATAAACAGTAAAAAATATGGTGCTACTCCCATTTTAGGGTATCGTTCGTTATTTCGAAAATGAAAAGAATTAATTAAAACTACAAAAGAGAAGATTGAGATTTTTGCCTCAGACAAAGTCTGTTGTACAAAATAAGCGCTTTAAAAAGATCATATTCAATTTTTTTTGAAAAAACAAAAAACTAGTAGTTTTGCGTAATTTCTGCTTGAAATTAATGAAATATGTTACATCAACTACGGGCCACGAGAGAAGTTGAATGACTGATATGAAAAATAATTAATTTAATTTTAATTATAATTTACTATTGAATATATATTAATTCTATTTTTATACTCTCGCTTTTTTACTTTTTACTCAATTTGTATTCTCAATGTATTGAAGTATTTCTTTTTAAGCAATCTGCAAAGCTTAATAGAAATATCGTAACAATGCGGCACCGATATTTGAGAAGCAAAATGTTGTCGAATGTCAAGATGTCGGTGATAAGATACAGCTGTTATTTAGTCCAGCTGGTGGAGGTGTAACACACAGATAACCAGTACTTCAGTTTGCGATAATAGTAATAATAATAATAATAATAATAATAATAATAATAATGTTTATTGAGTCACATATACAATTACAATCGTGTATGACGAGTCAATACGATGTCATGAGTGGAGAGAGCGAAATTACATTACTGTTCAGGAGGAAACAAGGGGCCATCTCAGCATTTGCTCAAGGGACCAGGGAAACTGAACAAAGCCTGATCGAGATGGAGTCATTAACCTTGGGATTATATTACAATAATGCTACAGATAGATTAGGATATTATACAGTAGATAATTATTTTAGTAGCAGATAATTTAACATTTCAAGATGTTATTGTCATCTTAATGCTAATAATACTCATAATTCTTATGATAATAATAATAATAATAATAATAATAATAATAATATTAATAATAATAAAACTATACATATCAATTCTGTTAGCAACTACATACAATTTAACAATATTAGTACATTCTATATTTAAAACTTGAAATGGTGAGGAGGAGGAGGCAAGTTTTGACCAGTTTTTGTTTGTTTGTTTGTTTGTTTGTTTTTTCTTCTTTCAATTTGTACACGTAGTCTTCCTGTAGCACCTAATGCGTCTAGCGAATCCAGAGAGAAACAGAATTTTATTTTTTGTTTTTTGTCGGCCATTCTCCTTCTACTTCACAGGACGCGATATGCCAGTTCTTTTTCCTTTGCTTCAGCTCGAAACAGTTACCACGAAACAGAAAGTCGAATGGGATAAGCAGTTCTTATTTATTTATACATTTTAAGAGAAATATTGTTGTAATTTGAATATTCCTTTACACCGTAGAACATTTTAAGCAGGGAAGCTTTCAATTTATATTTAAATGTGTGAATTGTGTTTAATGTCTTTAATATCATTGCCTAGTTTGTTGTAAAGTGTAATGCCCTTTATTAGGGTATTTT